CTGCAGAACATCCACAAGGCGGCGGAGCGTGTCCGTTTGCTCCCTCATTAGTCCAAGCAGCGTTTGAGTAGCCTGCCAGTCCTCCTGTCGCCACCTCTCCTCCCGTTCCATGTTTGCCCGGTGCATTTGGGACAAGTTCTCCCTCCACTGTGTCTGCTGGGCTGCCTGTGCTCGGGAGCATGCCATTAGTTCAGCAAACATGTCTTCCCGTGTCCTCTTCTTCCTCCTCCTAATGTGCGCTAGCCTCTGGGCAGATGTGGCTGTGGGAATTGGAAAAAGGGAGTGAATTCCTGAGACAGATCAATGTATCTGTGAACAGAGAACATAGTCTTTCAACAAGACCATGCAGAGCACCTATCACACGCGCACTGAGGACAAGGTCGAATTTTCGGCCCTCGCCTACAGTGCCTGCGGTCTTGCTGTGGCGAGCTGAGGAGCAGGGCAGGACACCGGACTTTGTCTAGCTGTCAAACATGGTAAGCCGTAGACTTGTGGCTGCTTAAAACTTTAAGAGTGGCACTGGCCTCCTTTCGCATAGAAAGCAATGCGAGTCTCTGCTGGCAGCAATCCTGCAAGCATGAACTCTGGCCCTGTCCCACCCCCTCGCGGCTGTAAACCGGCGGTTGCAGTTCTGTAAAGGGACGGGCAAGCAGTCCCAATACTAACTTTCCCCTACCTAATTCACAGCAGGGAGTCATGCCAGACATCACCCTCCTGAAGGTCTCGGAGAACCAGAAGGAGCGGATGCTTCGTGACAGCCTGCAGAAACCAGGGCCATTTGCTGCAATGCTCTGCAAGGCCATGATCCCCGAGTACCTGCTGGCGTTGTGGCAGGGAAACGTCTCATACCACGGGGGGCCTAACAAGCTCTCCCTGCCCAGGAACCTGCTCATGAGGCTTGAAAAACACCTGCAGGAGACCTATGAGGAGTTCTCCCCGGAGGATGTCGCCTCTATCCCCGGATACATTGACCAGTTTTTGGGTTAGGTGCCCTTGGAGGGACAAAAGAGTGCAGCGTTTTGGGCATTATAATCATGAAGCGGACATTGTGAAATTTTTTGAAAATAGACTATATATTGAAGCGCCCAAAGACAGAGTAATCATGATACACTTTGCACAGATTCCCGTTTTGTTGGACTTTCCTGTTTACATGTTTTGAAGCACTTTACCCACTGTTAATATTTTAAATCTTCCTGTTTTGTTGTAAATAAATGTTTACATGTTTTAAAGCACTTTACCTATTGTTAATATTTTAAATATGCCAGTTATGTTATAAATAAATGTTTAGATATTTAAAACACTTACTGCTTGATCCTTCCCCTGAATCTGTGTCTGGGATAACGGCTGGGGAGGGTTGGTAGGGGATCTCTGTGAGGGTGATGAAGAGCTCCTGGCTGTCGGGCAAATCAGCGCTGTCGACTGCCTCGTCCTCCTCATCTCCTTCCTCCTCTTCCCCGTCCGCTGAGGAACCGGCCGCGGACAATATCCCATCCTCAGAGTCCACGGTCAGGGGTGGGGTAGTGGTGGCGGCCGCACCTAGGATGGAATGCAGTGCCTCGTAGAAACGGGATGTGTGGGGCTGGGATCCGGAGCGTCCGTTTGCCTCTTTGGTCTTCTGGTAGCCTTGTCTCAGCTCCTTGATTTTCACGCGGCACTGCGTTGCATCCCGGCTGTATCCTCTCTCTGCCATGGCTTTAGAGATCTTCTCATAGGTCTTTGCATTCCGTCTTTTGGAGCGCAGCTCGGAAAGCACGGACTCATCTCCCCACACAGCGATGAGATCCAAGACTTCCCGATCAGTCCATGCTGGGGCCCTCTTTCTAGTCTGAGATTGCACGGCCATCTCTGCTGGAGAGCTCTGCATCGTTGCCACTGCTGCTGAGCTCGCCACGGTGTCAAAACAGAAACTGCGATTCAAACTGCCCAGACAGGAAAAGGAATTCAAATTTTCCCGAGGTGTGGCTGGTCAGAGCATCCGAGCTCGGACTGCTGTCCAGAGCGTCAACAGAATGGTGCACTGTGGGATAGCTCCCGGAGCTATTACCGTCGAATTCCATCCACACCTAGCCTAATTCGACATGGCCATGTCGAATTTAGCGCTACTCCTCTCGTTGGGGAGGTTTACAGAAATCGATTTAAAGAGAGCTCTATGTCGAACTAAATAGCTTCGTGGTGTGGACGGGTGCAGGGTTAATTTGATATAACGGCGCTAAATTCGACATAAAAGCCTAGTGTAGACCAGGCCTGAGTTTTTGAATGCTCAACTTGAGACACGTGGGGCCTGATTTTCAGCTTTGAGCAACCATAACTCCAACTGAAGCCAATGGGAACTGCAGGCACTCCACACCTTTGGGGAAAAAATCAGACTCACAGTGGTCTGAAGTTGGGCATCCAAAATAAAATACCATTTTTAAAAATATGGGACTTAGCCTCTCTGCATCTCAGGTTACCCATTTGTAAAACAGGGCAACAATATTTACTCTATGTGAGTCTGAAAATAAACAGGTTATAAGATGTCCCCAGCCCCAGGCAAGTGGGTATTACTATCCCATTTTACAGATTAGGAAATGGTCTCACAAAGTTAAAATGTCTAATGATAGGAGGCAATGAGGACTAGGCATAGCTCTAGCAACCAGCTAATCTGTGTTCTAATCTTACTTTTGACAATGACTTGCTGGGTGACCTTGAACTAATCAATGAGGTCAGTTGTGTAAATGTGGGGTTTACATGTTTACTTAACTAATGAGTGTACAGTAGTACTGATGGTTCTTTCCTTTTCTTAATCAGCTAGTAGGTAAACTTATACCTACCATCTGACTGGTATAGAAGACACTAGAGCAGTGGCTCCCAAACTTGTTCTGCCGCTTGTGCAGGGAAAGCCCTTGGCGGGCCGGGCCGGTTTGTGTACCTGCCGCATCCGCAGGTTCGGCCGATCGCGGCTCCCAGTGGCCGTGGTTCGCTGCTCCAGGCCAATGGGAGCTGCTGGAAGCGGCGCAGGCCGAGGGACGTACCGGCTGCCTCTTCCAGCAGCTCCCATTGGCCTGGAGCAGCGAATCGCGGCCACTGGGACCCACGATCAGCAGAACCTGCAGACGCGGCAGGTACACAAATCGGCCTGGCCGCCAGGGGCTTTCCCTGCACAAGCGGCGGAACAAGTTTGGGAACCACTGCACTAGAGAATCAACTACATAATATATATTATATTCAGACAGATGACTGTATGATGCCATATCAATGTATCTGTTAATCCTGGTATGTGTTACCCTATGGGAATTTTTAGAAAGATTCATTATGTACATACTGTACATAAACCCAGTATATCTTATACTCTGTAACAGGGTTTTCACAATCTTCTGTTTTATGATGAGTATTAAAAACAAAAACAAAAAACCCCATGTATACCCCAAACTTAGAGCTCTAATTTTTTTTAAATGTAAGCTGCTATTTTTCAGTAAAATGTCTTCAAAAGTACCATAATTTTCAAGTATTTCAGAAGAAAAGAAGGAAATTGCTATAGTAGCTCAAATGTATCAAGACAGACAGTAAGTAATGCAAATTATAGGATCTAAATGTTCATGGTCATATTGCTGTAGAACTCAGCTCTTTATTGGAAGTGAAGTACAAAAGTCAAAATATACCCAAATTCTGTACTATTTAAACCCATTTTTACTTTGTACTTGCTGATGACATACAAATGCCAATTTAACTTTTCATTCATGGTCTCTGCTATTGCCACAAACACTAAATAAGAAAAGCCAGACTTCCATCCTACAGTACATGCACATGCACAAATATGTTATATATGTACTATGTCTACACTGTGAACAGGGAGTGCTTAAAATCAGCAAGTTGAAACTTTCTGTTCAGATTGATTTTGAGCTTTGATCAGTCTCTACTAAAGGTGCTGGCAACTTGGAGTTCAGGAAGTATTTGCCAACTTCAAATTTTCATAATTGCTGTAACATATGAAAGGAAACTGAGTTGTGAACTTTCTTGAAGTCTGAGCTCTTTGCACATGCAAACTGGGGTAATGTGCACATTTTTAAAATGCTGGCTTTAATTCACAAGGAACAATAGTGTATAAATTACTCAGAATAAAAAAAAACAGAAGAGGGAATATAACAGAAAAAAAAACCACAATATCCTAATAAAGTGGCACCCAAAAGAACTCCAAAACCCTTAAGCCTTATTCATAGAGATGGAGACAAAAACCTGTGGAGCAGCAAAAAGAACAAGGATTCAGAAAACACAGAAGAAAGGAAAACAGTAATACAGGAACAGTGACTTTGCCATATTCTTCTCTCGCTGATACTGGAATAAATCTGAAGAAACTCTAGTGAAGAGATACACCAGACCAAAACTAGCATAATGTCCCAATTTCACCAGTGGTGAGCAGCTCTAGGACTGCCACCTAGATTATAGTTTGGTGCTACAAAAATAATTGGATCAAAGCAGTTTCTAATATGCATTTATATAGTGCCCTGAAAGTAGCTTCTATCTGAGCTGGAAGACATTATGAACAATTCTTTCTTTGGGCTGGAGTGCTACTAAGCACATTTGAGGAACTCTGTTCTAAACGAAATAAGCATAGGATACATCAGCTTGAAGTTTGTTTTATTTTTAAAATCACAAGGGCACCAAATAAAAGAATAAAACTAATATATTTCAAATCAATGAATAAAGAGCAACATGTTTAAAAGAATTATATCCATAGTTTTCTCCTTTAACAGACAATATTTTATATTTGCTCAGATCTAAATTATTCTCTAGAGCACCAAGTAATTTCAAATTACTGACTTAAAAATATTGTTAGCTGAGTACTTTTGGAATGTGAAATGAATATTCACAGCAGCATAAGTTAATCAGCACTTGATTCATATTTTTTTTAAATGAAATTGACTATGCATTCTCCACCCAGTGTTATGTGTAAACAGCTTCCTCAACTTCAGTAGGATAGCTGGGAATTCAGTACTCTACATCAAGTCATTCTAAGAACTTACCATTTCCAAATCTCCATCAGCAACTGCTCGTAAGAGTTTTTCTATCTGTATATAAAATCAGAAAAGGGAATTTTAGTTGCTTTAGTAATACTAGTATTAAACTGTACTCTGAAAATCCAGTGTCCTTTATTAACCTCCTAATCTGATGCTGTAGGATTACAGCTGGCCTATTTCAGATATATTGATAAAGTTTTAAAGGAAAACGTTATTAACTTATGAAATACAAAATCTGTATAAGGCCTATAGCCATTCGATGATTTTTGAATTGCATAGCAGAAGATAATCATTACTTATCTAAATACAGAACACATATGATGCATATGTAAATAAGCCCATGCTAGTTAATACAGCAAATACATTTTTTTACTTCACCAGCAATTATGCATGTACTTTTATTTAGGATCCAGCATTAAATAAAAGCTATTAAAGGCATGTAACTCCCCCTGGATGATGCTACTGTTTGGGGCTCTTGCTAGGCTGGTAGTTGATGCCAAAAGGGGTCCTTTTTTTTTCTTTTTTAAATAGTAGTTGAGTCAAAACGTGGTTTCTAGTTTTGCATTTCTGTATCTGCATATTAGTGGTTTGTAGTAGTTATAAGTTCTACTCTACTTCAGTGTTAAAATGAACATTGTCAAATTGGTCCCAAAATCTAAATTTATTCTAAATATGGAGTTTGCTTTTTTAAAAATAATTAAAACTTACTATGACATCACTGAAAAGGTATAAAAACATGCAGTATTTTTGCTGCACCTGCAAAAGCATGTTAAAAGCTCTTTGATGACCCTGTATATCAGCATTTTAACAAATATTCATAGGGCTGTGCTATCACCAGTGATACTAGTGTATAAAAAGATGTTTCAGCATAAGATACTGTGGCAGTTGACCTCATTTCTAAATTATATTAACATTTCAGCTTCTATCTAGAAATTTCTACCTTGCACATCACTGGTAGTATCTGAGCACATTCAAAAGGCAGACAGACACATTCCTTTGCCAGATAGAAAGGGTATAACTGATGGGTGAACAAAACATTTTCAATTTCCAAAGAACATACTGCAATTAATGGAGACGTCTGCTTTAAAATTACTCACTCAAGTATTTTTGAAGGCACATGAACACAAAATAAATAAATTAATCATTAAAAACAAGTCTCCTTGTCCCTGTTACTAATACCAACTTAGATGATTAAAACTGAATTTACTTTTCAACATTACACCACTTGGACCATGATGATAAACATCTGAGATTTATGTTTTTTGTTTACATTTGTATTGCTTTCAGTTTCAACAAAGAAACAGACTAACTGGTTTTCACTTTTTGGTTCTCGTGCACTAGCTCAGTATTTCAGTGCTGGAATTGCAAAAACCCAAAATCTATGTTTTGTAATTTAAAAAAAATTAATGAATATATAATTATATATTGCAACAAATTTATTACAAAACCTACATTTGGGGCATAAACTACTTAATATCTCTAAATAACTTCTAGATGAAAATACATAATTTATTGTTTTCTGTCCCGTACAAAATTAAAGATGGCTTCTGGTTTGGATAAACAGAACTGCTACATAGGCCCAGATCCTGCAATTGGATCTGCATGTGTGGACCAAATAAATGGAGGAGCAAGTGAATTCAATGGGGACTCAAGAATCTCCCAGTAAGGATCAAAATGTAGGACTAGGGTCTTAGTTCTTTCTCTGACTTATTTTAGAAGCTTTAGTCTTATGTTTCTTTTCTCTACAAATATAGTAAGAAAGAAAGAATCAGTTGGAGAGGAAAATACTGTTTATTGGGATAATCTCTTTCTCCGGGCTTTTGGGGAGGAGATTGGGATAGGTGTTTGAAGGCAAGGGACTCTGAGGCTAGAGTAGTTCATGGGTTCCACTCCCCCCGTTTTCATCCTGGTTTTGAAGAGGTTGCTAAAATTAATTTTGTTAGATTACCATATTTCTAATCTATGGTAAAAGCAATCCGGGGATAGGCAATATATGTTTGTATAAATCTACAATAAAACAAATCAAATCAAATCAGGGAGGTCTGTACTTTCCATAATGTTCCCCTTTCCCTATCTCTTCCCAATTAGGGTTGCCAACTTTCTACTTTCACAAAACCAAACACCCTAGCCCCTCCTCCAAAGCACCACCCCCTGCTCACTCCATCCCCCCCCTCTGTTGCTCGCTCGCCCCACCCTCACTCACTCATTTTCACTGGGCTGGCTCAGGGGGAGGGGGGTGCGGGAGGCAGTGAGGGCTCTGGCTGGGGGTGCGGGCTCTGGGGTGGAGCCAGGGATGAGGGGTTTGGGGTGCAGGAGGGGGCTCTGGGCTGGGGGGTGGAGCCGTGGGGTTCGGAGTATGGGAGAGGGCTCTGGGCTGAGGCAGGAGGTTGGGGTGTGGGAGGGGGTACGGGCTCTGGGCTCAGGGTGCGGGTTCCGAGGTGGGGCCAGAAATGAGCGGTTCAGGGTGTGGAAAGGGGTTCCGGTCTGGGGGTTGAGGTGCGGGGCAGGGGGGCAAGGGCTACATCTGGGGGTGTAGGCTCTGCAGTGGGGCTCAGGATGAGGGGTTTAGGGTGCAGGCGGGTGCTCTGGGCTGGGACTGAGGTTGTTTGGAGGGGTGGGAGGGGGATCAGGGCTGGGGCAGGGGGTTGGGGTTGGGGGGGACTGTGAGGGCTCCAGGAATATGGTGTTTGGGGTGCAGGAAGGTGCTCCAGGCTGGGCCTAAGGGGTTCAGAGGATGGGAGGGGGATCAGGGCTGGGGCAAGGGGTTGGGATTGGGGTGGGGAGTGTGAGGGCTCTGGCTGGGGGTGTGGACTCTGGGGATGAGGGGTTTGGGGTGCGGGAGAGTGCTTCGGGCTAGGACCAAGGGATTTGGGGGGTGAGGGGCGGGATCAGGGCTGGGGCAGGGGGTTGTGGCATGGGAGAGGGTCAGAGGTGCAGGCTCCAGACGGCACTTACCTCAAGCAGCTCCCGGAAGCAGCAGCAGCATGTCCCCCCTCTGGCTCCTACGCGGAGGCACAGTCAGGTGGCTCTGTGTGCTGCCCTGTCTGCAGGTGCCCCCGCCCCCACCCACAGCTCCCATTGGCCGCGGTTCCTGGCCAATGGGAATTGCAGAGCGGTGCTTGGGACAGGGGCTGCCCCTATGCATAGGAGCCAGAGAGGGGACATGCCGCTGCTTCCAGGAGCTGTAGGGAGCCTGGCTTAGCCCCGCTGCACTGCCGACTGGACTTTTAACGGCTACATCAGCAGTGCTGACCGGAGCCACCAGGGCCCCTTTTTGACTGGGCGTTCCAGTCTAAAACCGGACACCTGGCAACCCTATTCCCAATCCACCAATCGGGTGCTGCTGTTTGGGAAATGGAACAGACTGCAACTTTACTATAGGAAATTGACCCTTGAGAGCAGTAGAGCTATTATGCCTATTGAAGCAGTGCAACTGCACAGGGCTCTTCCAGAAGTTCCCACACAACACAGTAGCCCACAGCAGTCACCCACAGCATAGCTTGAATGCCTTAAGGCAGCAGCTACGTTAACAAACTTTTCAGCCATCATTCAGTACCAGTGTGGCTCCACCAGTTGTAGCAACTGTGGAAGTCATAGAGTAGACAGGGCTCTGCCATTTTGCCATCATGTTGCCTAACACTGTAGGCTAGGACAGTGGTTCTCAATCTTTCCAGACTACTGTACCCCTTTCAGGAGTCTGATTTGTCTTGAGTGCCCCCAGTTTCACCACATTTAAAAACTACTTGCTTACAAAATCAGACATAAAAATACACTGTTACTGAAAAATTGCTCACTTTCTCATTTTTACCATATAATTATAAAATAAATCGATGGGAATATAAATATTGTACTTATATTTCAGTTTTCAGAGTAGCAGCCGTGTTAGTCTGTATCCGCAAAAAGAACAGGAGTACTTGTGGCACCTTAGAGACTAACAAATTTATTTGAGCATAAGCTTTCGTGGGCTACAG